CCGGGGGGCAGTGAGGGCCGCCCCAGAATTAACGTTTCCCGGTGTTCTCGCCTGCACGGTAGCTCAGCCACTCGCCCTCCTCGGACTGGGCGGGCTCAGAGTCACAGAATCAAATAGCTGAGGGAATACCTCTGAGCTCGTCGAGCCTTACCTTGGACCGAGCATCACCGTGTCCATCACACCAGGGCACTGAGTGCCCCGTCCGGTGTTACCTTAAACACCTCCCTGGGCAGCCCGTTTCAACGTCTGATCACTCTTTCCGTGAAGAAATTCCTCCTCGTGTCCAACTTAAACCTCCTCTGGGGCAGTTTAAGACTCTCCTCTCGTCCTGGGGTGCCCAGAGAGTGGCCACGGCCAGTAGTGGCACCATGCAGGCTCCTACCCTGCTGGCTTTGGTTGAGGAAAAATTTCATCACAGAAGGGGTCATCAGACATTGAACGGGCTGCCCAAGGACGTGGTGGCATCACTGTCCCTGAAGCTGTTCAAGAGAAACCTGGACGAGGCTCTCAGTGCCATGGCCTGGTTGACATAGGCTGGACTCAACTACCTTAGAGTCCTTTTCTGGGGTAATTGATTCCAAGATTCCAGATTCATAACCATATTAAAATATTTCCTGTAAATTTTCTGAATTGAAGCATCAAGAGCAATCACTGCCAAACATTTCCCAAATGTAAGCATACCAGAAGTAATGAAGTGCCCTTTGACAAAGAGTTAATGCATTTTGAAACACGAAATTTAGCACCCTTAAAGTGAGTTAGCATAAGTTAGAGAGGAGATGCAAGCTTACACCCGAAGTGTTAAAACCAGTGCCTGGCAGTCTGTGGTTCCCACATGCTACACTGAAACTACAACAGCTTTTTCTGTCATGCAGTGCCAGCAGCCATAGGTGGTGGGTTTAATAAGGCATTTAAGGAAACTTGGATTTAGATAGTAAAAACCCTCTCAGGAAAAGCCATTTTTCTCCCCCCACGAAAAACTGACAAAGAATATATGAAAGGGGGAAAAAATTATACAAGCAGGATGGGATTAATTGAAACTTATGTATTTTCAATAGCTGGGAGGATTTTGTTTCAGGTTCTGCAGCATGGATTCTGAATTTTATCTAGAGGTACATTTATAAGACTCATTAAAAGGTTTTGCATTTAGAATCCAAAGAAGGGAGAGTCACAATTCCACAGTAAATTAACCTGGGTTTAATCAGATCTAAAACTCTGTTTCCTGCTGGAAGATTTGGTGTTGTTAGGAGGTACTACGCAAACCCAATAAAACATGTAGGGTTGGGGGAAATGGCCTCTCAGAAGGTCTTTGTGCTGCCCGTCTGTTTCCACAGCAGATTTCTCCACTTGAACCACTAATAAAATTTCCTCACATCAGGATGAGGTTTCTGAATTTGTATTTTGTATACATAGCCATGTTCTTTCTGATTCATTTAGCCTCATCAACAACAATAAAGATACTGAATCAGAACAAGCTGGCAATTTTGTTGATGAAACATGGGGAGAGCGGACTCCAGCTGGCTCTTCAGCAGATACATTGGCCAGTTGACAGGAATAAAACTGCAAGAAACCTGACACAGAAAGCACACGTGGTGAGAGGAGACAGACAGCAGAGGCAGGCAGGTAGGCAGGCACTGCACAGCACCTGCTTGCTGGTTTTGAGTCCAAGGCAATGGCTTCTCTCTTCTGAACTGGCTCCGAATACGCCATTTCATGCCAGCTTATCCTACCTCCTTTCAAAGGCTTCCAAGGCTCCTTGCAGGGGGCAGACATATGCAGTCCCAGGCTGCCATTTTAGGCGTTTCTGCTCACTTTGTGCTCTTGCTGTCTACTTGAAAGGTTAAGGACAGCCCAGGAGTCACAGTCATAGAATATCTCAAGTTGGAAGGGACCCATAAGGATAGAGTCCAACTCTGCTCCTCATAGGATGGTCTAAAGCTGAACCATGTGACTAAAAGCATTGCCTAGGTGCTCCTTGAACTCTGGCAGGCTTGGGGCTGTGACCAATTCCCTGAGGAGTCTTTTCCAGTGGCCAACCACCCTCTCAGTGAAGAACCTTTTCCTAATGTCCAGGCTGAAGTTTCCCTGACACAACTTCATTCCATTTCCTCAGGTTCGAAATCGAAGAGATCGGCATCTCCCCTTGCCTTTAAAGGAAGCTGCAGAGTGTGATGAGAGCTCCCCTCTGTCTCCTCATCTCTGAGCTGAATAAATGCAGTGAGCTAATCTGCTCTTTGTAAGACTTTTCCTCCAGACTTTTCATCGTCTTAGTCTCTGTCTGGTGTTTTGCCATATTTTCTAAGGTAGTAAATAGAGAGAGGAGAGAGGCAACAACTTAATGAGTTACATCCCCAAAATTCAGCTGTTGAAAGCATCTGCCTCTCAGATCACTCCTAAACATCACAATTAGCATTAGTAAGGCTACTGTCCATTAGCTGTCCACCCACTGCCCTCTTCCACTGTCTCAGGCACACCTGAATTGTGAAGGCAGCATTTCATACTCCTCCCCTTCTAGTGCTGTGCAGGCTGTGGAGCTCCCACAGCCTCACTTCCCTGCTCTGAATCCAGAGGCACACTCAGAGCAGGGGTTGTGCAGGGCAGGGCTGCAGTCCCAGCACATGACACAGCACTGTCACCCCGTGTCAGGAGGTTTGACACTCTGCTGCCCTGTACGGTGACACGGCCCCAGTGTGAGGCTGCTGAAGAGCAGAAGGACCCAGCTGCTGCACAGCTCCAGGAGCTTGGCAGATGTGACTGGTCAGCATCTGGCTCCTAGGACTGAAGAGCCAGAGTGTCATGGCTTCCCTGTCTCATGAGTAAATCCATGTCCGGATCCACACCATGAAGGGGGAGCTATTTCTGCAGCTCAGTGTGTTTTCTTACAAATCCTTACAGATAAATTACTCAGCTTAAAAGTTTTGCAGAGATTGACTGCTAAGTGCTTACAAAGTAACTCAGTAGATCTAAAATAATTACTGGTGTAATTCCCTTGTTTTCAGGAAAAGCTATTCATAAGCACAAATTACTACTGCCTGTAGGTATCACAAAAGAACTGGAGCCATGTTTCCTTCATGTATCCCCAGTCCCCATCCTGACCTAGTATGACTTTGGAATAAATATTCTGTGAAGAATCTACCTTACAATTAAGTCTGCTTCCAGCAAGAGCCCTGATTACACCACATCAGAAATTGGAGAAACTTAAAGAAAAATACCCTTATCCCAACTGTGCTCAGTGTTGTATAAGGCTTAGTACAAACTGAGCTAAAATACTCCAAAACTTAAATCAGCTTTGCAAAGCTACAATCCTTGTAAGGATTGTACAAATCCTTGCAAGGTTGATAGCCTGCCACACAATTCCTTACCTTAATACTAGGTTATTATCTTAGTAGGAGGAAATGGGAATCTGACACATAGCAAAACAAGACATTGTCTGTTTTAATACCTGTGTATTATATGCCAAACAGTTTTTCCTGGAAATTATCTGTATGTCAGCAAAGTGTTTGCTTTTGGGTTTAATTGTTCACCTACAAATTATTTGATACATTCTTCTGTGCTCAATTTTTGCCTTAGGTGGATCCTACTGATATCTTGCAAACAACATTGACCAAACACGAGTCCTTTCAACACCAAGGAAAAATTAGCAAACACTTTATAGCTGGTTGCTCTGCAAAGAGCCTTCCTTTCCTGCGTGTTTCATCCAGAAACAGAGACAAGCTGAGTCTTTACTTTGTTCTTTTCCAGCATTATAGCATTTTCTAACAAACATTTTGTTTCAGGATGCCTCACACATGACACTTGGCCTTGCTGAGCATCCATAACTGACCATGGAAACGCTCATATCACCAAGTATCCAATTGTTCTAACTCATGGTGTCCAAAAGGGCACTTAAAAATCAAAGTTCATTTTTAAAGCTTTGCCCTGTACTAACAAATAAGGTTTCATGATGCTCAACCAAATAGCTTGTTCAGAAACATGAACTCCAGCCCAGAGAAAACCATTCATCATTTCAAAGACTGTCAGCCATTACTAGACACATATGTAAGGATTTTTTAAAACTGAATTGAGTATCAAAGGCACATGTTCTGCGTAAATGTCAGGCATTTTTACTCATTTTTCTACTAGAGTTCTGTGATTAAAATAAACATTTACAGTATGAGATTTTTTTCCCTGCCTCTGAACACTTTTTGGATCTGAATCTTTGTTTTAGAAGATGTGTCTTGTGAAAAAGAAATCTAGGAATATGGGTCAAATGTGGCTTTTAAGGCTTGTTCATATTTTAATTGCATGGTTGCAGACTTAACAAGAGATGATTCTTCCCTCCTTGAAATTTAAGACATCGAAAGGTTAATTCAGTCTTCTCAGTTCCATTTCCTTCCGTCTGTTCCCCTTCCCACACTCCTCCCCACCCCCCATCTGTAGACAGCTGAGTTATTTGAATTTTATGCAAGCTAGTATTCATCCAAAAGTGAAAATCACTCAATGTATGCACTAGGCAAGCGAAAATTGCAGTACTGCACACTTGCATTTTTTACTTCCTATTTACTTTTCTTTGCATTCACCAGCTTGGGCTGTGGACATACATGCTCATGTCCCAAAGATCAAGTTAACTCAAATTAAAGCTTGTGTGTCCCCATTGCTGTTGAATTCCCATTCTTTGTTCTCATGTGGAATCTATGCTCAAGCTGCTGTGGTGCTTTTACCTTGGGTTGCGGAAAGGCTACAGTTCACATTACCACAATTTATCAGCTGCCAACACAATCACTCTCTGCTGCTCCCATGTTATTTCATGGTGTGGTCACTCTTACTCAAGGTACACTAACTCCAAAGGAGTTCCTTTGACAGAGCTCAGGTTAACAATGGGATGAAGAAAACTTTATTCCAAATGATTTTAGCACTTTGCATACATTTGCAAGGAAAAAAATCCATAAAAGAACTCATTAAAAATGTTCTAGTTCACTCAGGTTCTGGAGAAAGAGATGTTCACTTCAGATGCCAGGAGAGGTAAACAGTATAATCTTTCTTTTTTCTTTATTTTACATTTTAAAAAAGAAAAACAGCATTTAATGTAAATTTCTTGCAGCTTTCATCGAAAGGCAGAAGTCAATAGATGTGGAACTTACTGATTACCATTTTCTTACATAATTGTTGACCTTGTATACACAGCATGTAATACCTATGTGTTTGATTTACACTGTATAACAAGCTTATAAAATTGGAAAATGATTTTTGGAAAAGATGATGGAAAACTACAAGTTTTTATTCTGCAAATTTCTCAGAGTAATCAGCTAGAAAAGATAACTTGGCTGCCTTTTCTGTTCCTCTGCTTCAGCAGCCTTGTTTCCTTAAGCAGCTGAAAAGCTTCAGGGTTTATCCTCCCCCCAGCATAAAACCACTCAAGCTACCAGAAGTCCCAGGCTATTGCGAGTGGAATGATTTGGCAACACAAAGAGAAGTGCTGGTGAGGCACCCCTCAAAACCACATCCACAGCTCCGTGTCCCAGGAGTGAAGAATACCTCACCTCTGTAGCTACCACCACGGATTTTAACAACAGACCCACCTATTGTGCTTTTTCCTCTGGACAAAATGAAAATCTGAAGTTAACATAAAGTTAAGTAGATGTCTGGATTTTATGATCTTTGATCTATCTTCTCCTAGATTATGCTGGTTATCTATTTGCTGCACAGTGGGTACCACAATTTCAATGGTAATGTTTCTCCTGTCTGAAGCAAAGATAGGAAGAATCCCAAGAATGGATTGTTTCATTCCAGAGCAGCTAGCTACACTGAGAAGAGCCATGTTTGAGCACACTCCCGACGCTCATCCAAGATTTCCCTGTCTTACTCCTTCCCTAAACTGTTGCTTGCAGAAGATACTTCTGTCCAGAGACAGAAAGAAGGGAAAAAAAATAAAGACTGTTAAAGACTCAAAGTCATGCTAAACTTGTGTCTCTAGACCAGTATTCATCACAAACTGTCATGTGCTCTGTAGCACTAACTAATGTGACTAACACATCACATGCCTCATTCCCCACCCTGGCTTTGGGGGGAGAAGCCTGTGCACGGACATTCTGTATTCTACTTTTTCCTTTAATAATTCATGCATGGGTCAACAAATTTTGCTAGAAGGCGCCAGGCCAGAGCCAAGTACTTTGTGCTGGAAGACACACTTTTGGGTAAGTTCTTGAGAAAGCTCTGTTGCAAGAATCTCCATCTGGTTAAACTTTTAAAAATTCACCCCCATACCAAGTTTTATAATATAAAAAAAGCCAAAAAACAAAAGAAGAGAGAGAGGAAATTTCTACTCCCACTAGCTTATGTTTTCTCCTTTTGCTCTTTGCTGCAACAGGGTCTCTGGAATAGACTTGTCTGAACTCCTGAGCTATTTGGAAAACACGGGGCTGGAAAAAATAGCCCAAGAAGAAGGACTATCTACGACTGCCTCTCCTCCCCCCTCATCTTCTGCATGTACTGACCCTCAAGGTTCAACGGTCCTGATATGGAAAATGAAACACCTTAGGTAATGATAAAACATCCAGTGTAAGACAAGTGCCGAGTATTTACTCACTGGCAGTGCAGCATTGCAGCAGAGAGTCTGCCAAAGAGGGATCAGTGCCTTCCTTACACCCCCAGGATTCATTGTCTCTTAGCCTGGGAACCTGTCTCCGTTCCCAAACAGGGATATTTTTTTTGGCAGCAAGACGGAACAAAAGGCACAAAGAGAACTAAGAAAACCCTTTCAGTGAAGCTGTAGTCTTTTCTTTTTCCTGTTCCCCTGAGGACGGGAAAACTCCTAAGGATCACTCCTAACATACCCAATCCTGTTACCTGCCTGGAAGGTGCTCAGTGCCCACAGGGACCTACAGGAATCAGTGTCTGTGCAGATTCCAGCACAGCTTTCAGCCTTGACACATTGATCCTCTACCTTTAGCACCAAAAATACCACAGCATTTTGAAAATGAAATCACTGTTATATTTGAGTGGGTGTGTTATTTCGAGACAGCACTAATGTGATTATAAAATCAGTTGTGTCAGCTTATTGGCTCAGCTACAGACACTGATCTGCTCGAGCGTCTGTTCCTCTACCCGGCTGTTCGCGTTAGGGTGCTTTGTCCCCCCTCAGCTCCCCGTGGAAATAGAGACCATTTGATTCCCACTGCTGCACCAAAAAGAAAGAAACCTCTTCTTCTGGCAGTTGCCCACCTCGTCTCTATGAAACTTGGCATTTCCAGAGCACCTCTTGTGCCAAACATGAGCACAACATCCCCCAGCCCATTTAAGGCTACAGCCCATATATACATATATATGCATAGGCTGGGCACGCTGCTTCCAAGTGACAGCAGCCAAGAGAAAAGGTCAAGTGGCAGCAGGGTCCAAACCTCCCAGCCTTTCCTTTCAGACTTTTCACTTGAACTCCCTCTAAACGTTTCCTCTCACCTATTACTGAATCCTGGGAGCAAGTGCTTGTTTTTCCCTGCTGCTCAGTGGGTGTCTGACAGACTCAGTGGCTTGTGCTGCCAGGCATGGTTTAATGCTGTCAATGGCAGGTGACTCACTGGTATCAGAAGTGTCAGTCCTGGCAGGTTTGACTCAGCCCTTCATCTTTTGGCAACAAATTGAAATAAAGTACAGTTTCCATTGTATGAGGCAGCTTTTTAGGCACAGCCACACCAGTGTAATTTTATGTGCTTTACTTGTAGAGAGCTTCTGTAAAGATTCTATAGTCTGCATGCTCCACTGGCTTCCTGGTTTTGCACATTTCTATACACTGGATCATTCTGCTGCCTCTGTGCAACACAAAGAAAAGTTGAAGTTCATTGCAACCACAGTCATCCCAAGGCCAGGTAAATGCCATGTTCCCCTTACTGAATATGGTGACTCTGAAATCCTGAAATTAAAAACCTGACAAAGAACAGCTTTGCTGCTTATATAGCAAAAATATTTCCATTACTAGTGAAAGGAAAAGGCATCTGAGTAAGATATTACCTACCCATCTTTACCTCAAAGTATGCGATGCCCTCAGGCCAAATTCCAAACTTTCCATGTGTAAACTGCATCCAGCTGTGTGCTGCATGGAGTATATAAACATGAGGTTTGAATCCCACACGAGCTGTGTTTGACCACAGCACTGAATTTACAAGCTACAGAAACTTGACAGGCACTTTATGCAACAGTCAAGATGTTTGTTATGGAGATGAGTATCTCCTGATTTCAGCAGAATGAGAAGGTGTGATTTCTCATCATTATGTTATTTGGCTCAATACTGTTGCACCTTCCTCACAAACCCAACCCAAAATCAATTAAAAACTTAGTCATCTTCAGCCTAAAAACCCAAACAACGTATCCCAAACTGTTTTAGTATTAGGTTTGCCAATAAATTGGGCAATTAAAGTGGTGATGGTGGTGAAAACAAGCATGCTCACCCTGTCTTAGCATGTTTAGAAGAGCCTGAGCTCTGCTGTGGATCCTGGGGGCAGAGCCTGTGACTGGACACAGAAAACAAAAAGTGAGGTTCCTCTGTTTTGCTGTTCTGAACACTTTGTTCACTCTCTATGACTGAGAGAACTTCTGCTACTCTTGAAGTTTAAGAGGTTTTGTCCTTTTAGTCTCGCTTCATAATCAGAATTATAGTTATTTTTTTAAATGGACAAATATTTTAAAAACTGAAACTCATTAACTGCCTGAGTGATTCATGAATCTCAGATTATGTTTTAAAGTCTTTTCTGATCTTCTAAATCTTGTGTCCAGTCAAACAAGAGGTTAATGCTCTCTCTTTAAACAGACACAAAGACTCTTCAGTGCCAAATCTCAGCTACAGCTTACACCAAATATTCACCCAGTGGCTGCCTTCCTGCTTTTTCCCAGGAGGTTTCAGTCAGGAACACAGCTTTCTATTTGTGACAACTGGTTGGATATGTGGGATGGAAGCAAAGGAACCGAGTCCTGACGTTTAACATGGTGTGCACACACAGTGAGCTGGTGTGGTCAGTGAAGATGCAGAGATAACTGAGCCAGCCTGCACAAATCCCTTAGGCTGGGAAAAACCTTTAAGATCAAGTCCAACCACAAACCTGTTCATTGTTTTAGTTTAAACAAACATTGTTAGAGGTCCTTAAGACACATTTAAGCACATTAAAACCATGCACACATTATCAGACTCAAACCCACTCTACCTAAGCCTGTAGTGCCAGCAGAAAGATCCACAGACCCTCCAGGGGTCTCAATCAGCTGGGAGACATCTCTGTCCCTCTGAGCTCATTGTTCAAGTGGCCTTACAGTCAATAGAGAAAACCAGCTACTCTTAGGGCACAATTAATTTTATCCCAACTTCATTGTCCCCCACTCCTGTCTGGAATTTCAGATGGAGGCACTGAAAGTACATGAGAGGAAACCCACACCAGTATCCAGGAGGATGCACAAAGCCCTTCTCTCCCTGCTTCCAGAGCCATGGGCTGAGGAAGGCACCTGCAAGTGCATTAACAGCTACCAAATCAGGGACAAGCAGAAATTCACAGCACATCTCGTTAGGACGCCTTCCTGGATGTTACTGTGGTGCCTGGGCTGTGCTAATCTCAGACTTGGCCCTTGCTCATGGCAATCACACCATGGCTGTGTTGAGAGCCCTCCAGAGCCCCAAGTTCATTCTTCTGCCTGGGGAGGTGGGGATGATCCCCAGGCATGCTGCTGAAAGCACCTACAGTCCCGCTCAAAAAAAACAATCTGGCAGCAGGAACCCTCAAACCTCACCTTTACTCCAAACCTCAGCACTGGAAAATGATGGGAAGGGAAACTTCAGTGTGATTGTCATGGTAAATGAAGAGAACAGAAAAAAAAGAAAAATCAAGATGTAATTTGGCAGTTTTCCATGTCAGTTTTCCCATTTCTCTCCCTCATGCACTTTCTACAGGAGCAATCTGTCCTTTTCCTAAACGCTGAACAATCCCAGCACTAAACTAATCAATATTAATAGCGATGGGTTTGGGAGGAGGGAGGAGGGGAGAGGAGAGGAGGGATTACCCTGACCTTTTTCAACTCACACTGCCTCAGACAGCCACCAAGCAGCTGAAGAGAGAGCAGCCAGACGGTAATGCCATGTGGTTTTAGTAGCTTTTCATTTTTTTAAAAAAAAAATTTTCCTTGTGAATATTTACTCTGTTGTTTCAGTGCAGATAGCAATGAAATCTGATTTTCTGCAGGAAGGAAAAAATATAATTATATCAGCCATCTCCGGGCCAAGCCTTGCCTTGATGGGAAACTCCACTGAAATAAGGGAAATAACGCCCAGGCTGGATTTTAACTTGAATTTCTTAATAAAAAGAAAATTGGATTAGGGAAGTTTTGACAGGTGAAATGCTAGTGTGCTTTGTGGGTTTCTCTTTATTATAGGAATGTAATCAAAGCCATTGAGCTGTGACTGGGATATGGAGCAAGAGCAAACAAAGGGCTGGGGGAACCAGTCCTCTATTGTTACGCTCAAGTGTCCACAGCAGCTATGGGGATGGATGGACTCAGTACAGAAGGCTAAGAATAAAAGACAAATCCTATTAATTAAAAGAAAATCATAATTGAAGCTCTTTGTTCCTATTGGATTTGAGGTTTATTGTAGATTTTCTAGTTGGCAGCATTTCTTAAAATACAGGTTTATTTTTTTTTCAGGGGGCATCATGGATTACTGGCAATTAATCGTTGTCTCTTTATTGCTGATTATTCTTGTTGCCATGTGCAAAATACGATTTTTAGAAATTTCATCTGAGAAATCTAGAGAAAATTCTATTTATGCATTTCCTCTTTCACTCCGAAAGAGCCAAGCCTCAGGGAAAGGTCCCAGATTGAGTGTTAGGTTTGTGGGGGTTTTTGAATAAACATTTTTATGGTATTTTCATATTTTTTCTCTTGAGGAGAAAATGCTTTGCAGATGGCTGATATCACAGCACTAGCTAATGAAGCCATGGGTGTGTTTTCCCTTTCTTTGTCAGGACCCATCATGTCCGACAAACCAGATTTTGCAGAAATTGAAACATTTGACAAGACCAAGCTGAAGAAGACAGAAACCAGAGAGAAAAATCCACTGCCCACTAAAGAAAGTAAGTGCTTATGAGGCTATTTGAAGTACGAGTAGCAAGGGCATAATCCGTATTGCAGTTCATATGCAAAATGAATACTAATCACAGGATTACAGGCTCAAACTCATCCCTGACTTTAAGTGGGGATAATACTTAGACTCTATTCTGGGCTTCCAAGGATATCAGTAATTATAACCAGCAGTGCATTTTGTCTGAAAAACCCTTTCTGATGGGATTGCTCTTGCTTCTGCTAAAAGCAGGACCAGTGTTCCCACTGGGTGCTGGTAACAGGATCAATCCGTTTGTAATTACCCTGTTACCAGCCCCTCTGGAGGCACAGGGGAACCTCTGCCCATCCCTGGCAGGCCAAGGCAGCATCCCCAGAGGGTGCCCGGGCTCTGGGTTTAATGTTATCAGGCAGATGAGCTGCTGCCCCCCACTGGTACCTGCTGTCAGCCCTGGGCAGGAGAACTGCAGGCACCTTCTCTGCAAGCAAACCCAACATCATCTTCGTCTAACAGCCAATCTCCCTCAGAAAAGCACCCCTGAGCTTTTCTCCTGCAAGGTCTTCTCCCATATACACTGTGCACAGGCAGCCACATAAGGCTGTGATTCATGTTCAGCTTCAGATATGAAAAGAGCATTTGGAGCAGATTTTGTGAGCAGTTTCCTTCAGAAGAATATTGCTAATCGCTGTGTGTGCTGATAGCCATGCACACGCAATCCCTCAACATTAGATACCTTTTTTTTTCCCATTTTATTGTCCTTGCCAATGCTAAAGCTGTAAATAGAAGAGGAGCTTTGCACGCCATGAACTGCTCCCTTCTTGCTATGCAGGTGTAGGAATGAATTGTCATTTTCAGGGTGATCAAAACAACCAATTATGGATTTAACCATTCTCTGGCTTGAAGAATGATCATAGAAAACTGTATCCTGCAGAACCATTATCATTAAATCACAGAATGGTTTGGGTTAGAAAGGACTTTAAAGATCATCTTGTTTCAACCCCCTGCCATGGGCAAGGACACCTTCCACTATCTCAGGTTGCTCCAAGCCCCATCCAACCTGACCTAGAACACTTCCAGGGATGGGGCAGCCCCAGCTTCTCTGGGCAACCTGTGCCAGGGCCCCAGCACCCTCACAGTGGAGAATTTCTTTCTCACATCTAATCTAACCCTGCCCTCTGTCAGTGTGAAGCCATTCCCTCTTTTTCTGTCACTCCAGGCCCTTGTCCAAAATCCTCTCCAGCTCTTTTGTAGCTTCTTTAAGTGCTAGAAGGGGTTCTAAAATCTCCCCAGAGCCTTTTCTTCTTCAGGATGTACACCCCCAACACTCCCTCAGTCTGTCTCCGTAGGGAGGCAAACTTTATTGTTCATAAACAGTAATATTTACTGATGGTGTTCTTGTTTCCTGTTTTTCTACCAGCTATCGAACAGGAAAAGCAAAGTGAAAGTACAGCCTGAGTATAAATTCAAGATGTGACTGCTGCTTCTTCAGTGGGGTTTTGACTTCTGAGTTGGGTTGTTGTTTTATTTTGTCCCTCCCACACCATTTTTGTTGCCTGTTTATTTTAGAAACATTTGTTCATTTAATGTTCCCTGGAGAAGTTTATTCTGTGTTTTTTGAAGAAGATACTATGTATTTGTATTCTTAAAATTATAATTCCAAGTTCGCTATCAACCCCATTACTTGGCAAAAAAAAAAAAAAAAAAAAGGCAATTTGCATAGAAATTGTTTTCCTAAACCTCACAATAAACAGGTTTCTTCTGACCAACTGTCTTTGAGCTTTGCAGAAATCAAGTTTACACTGCAACTCCTACTCCTTCCCCCTTTGCATTCCCACAGCAGCTCGGGGATTTGGGCAGGTTGGGAAGGATTACCCCAGACACTCACAGGTCCCTTGGCTGGAACACAGCCCCTCGCCATCATCTGTATCCTGCAGAATCCCAGAGCTCCAGAGGGCACCAATCCACAGGAACCCCCCTGACTGCTTTCACAGCAGCCTGGAGGATTCACTCCCATCCCTTGTGTTACCCAAGGGTGTTTCATGAGAACCCTGAGGGACAGGGTTGCCATGTGTGTGCCAGGAGCTCCTGCTCTTTGAAACCCCCAGCCTGGCAGCAGGCATGAGTAAGAGGGGAAGCCACTGGCCTGCTTCAGTCTTGTCCAGCAGCAGGTTAAAGGTTCCAGAGACAAGTACCCACTTACAGATTCCATGCCAAATTGATGGTTGGGCTGAGTACATACTCAAATTAACATTCCAAATGAAGAAAAGGGCTGCAGAACCCTCTCCACAGCTTTTTTGTCTCTCTAACTTGCAAAGATGCAGTCAGCCTTGGGATAACTGCAGTACAAACACAGCCTTTGGCCCATTTCATAACAAGCAATACAAGAACAAGGGAAGGTGGAAGGAAGACAAAATTAAGTGTCACATTGATTTTTAGAGATGAGAGAAAGACCTTTAGCAGTACAGGGGTGTAAGACATAAACCTTCAAAGCAAGGAAGGATTCCCTACATCTTCATTACCAGTGGAGAAATAGCATCCTTACTGGTCTGCAGAGGACTTGGCAAAAATAGACTCTGGTACCAGCTCAGGGGACTCTCAATTACATGGTATCACATTATCTCTGGAATTAATTTGCAATCACATTAGAAAAACAAGTGCTTACTCTGGGCAGATAAGCTGCTGTCCCTGGAGCTTCAGTTTGATCCTACTTGTGCTGTGAAATGAAAGTAGCTCTGTACTTCATCAGGGATAGTCTGGGCTTGTACCTGCATGAGGTGGGGCAGAACGCAGCCTACAGGCTTCAGAAAGCAGAAAAGAATAGTTGGGGTGATGTCCAGAAAGTTCTTGTTTACTTAAGAGCTGTTTGACACTAGACATTGAATCTGAATAGTCAGAACTGCAATTAAAAGTAGCAGTGGATCCACAGGACTGTGACCTTTGGTGGCAACAGAAAGTAACCAGGGGTGATCAGGAGACCAAAGGAAAACAGAGCAAGAGGACCATTGATTCCTGTCAGAGCTTTGTTAATGTGGTAGTGTCCAAAGGGCTGAGACTGCTGTTTCAATCCACATTCCTCAGTTCAACACTGCTGATGTTTTCTTTTCATGACCAAGGGTTTTTTTCACATTCTCATTTGAGGACCCCTTGGCACCTGACTCAAAGGGGTATTTATTTTAAGGTCAGCTGGATTTATTAATACTGATTTTTATATAAAAGTTAAGGAATGTGAGAGGCTGAGCAACAAAGAAAACAATGTTCTTTCTTTGTGACTCATGCTCTTCCCCCTCACCCCTGCACACTTCTTCAGGTGTGGTCAAGGAACCTCTGACATTATCTAAGTATCTGCTTTGATGATGGTTCCTTCATGGAGGAAGTATTTAGAGATAGCACTTAGAGCAACACCATCTTTGGAAATCTGTGTAGTTCCTACTGTTCAACCAGATTCGTTCAACCCGTTGCTTTCCCCAGGATGGTTTTTAAGCTCTGTCCTGCACTCAGCAGTAAGGCCACAGATGAGACTTTCTCCTTGGTTTTGTCCCATGTAATGATCTCCCTCCATCTCTGACAGTTGAGAGCATCTGCCAACTCAGCAAATACACTGTAAATCACCAAGAACTTCTTTGGCATCACTGAAACAGGGGCTGGTCTCTATGCCCACAAGTTTTCCCAAAAACCAAAGGTCTGGGCCATGTCCTCAGCCTGCACTTTTGGGACAGAAGGGAAGGGAGGTCTAGCCAAAGCAAGAAAACAACAGAGATATTTATGTTTGCAAAGGATTGGCAGCACAGCTCTTGGCTTTGGGCTGCTCCTGGTGCTGCTGCAGGGCTCAGTGTCCCCCATGAAGCCTGCTCCCAATTTAGCTGTTTGAATTTAAAGCCTGAAACAGTAAACCCAACATCTCAGTGCTTTTATGCACATAGCTCACCCCGCCAAATAGGCTGAGGAGAACTTTAGTCACATTCTCCACCCCTGTACCTGACTACAAAGGCTACAAACACCTGCACACCTGAAAAAGCTCCTCGAGGTTAAAGGCCAGATCTTCCCAGCTTTCCCCCGCCTGCCCCAGGTGGAGCACGGCTTTATGGCAGGGCTTGGGGAGTGCTTCTTTCACAATTAGCAGTTCAGAGAGGCTCAAGGTTAAAAACACAGCTGCAGTACTCTGATTTGAGGAACATCCCTCTCTGCTGCTGGGGGAGACCATTTCAACTCAGGAACTGCATTGGGAGATTAAATTTTGTCAAGAGTAGGGACAGGTTTGGCTCCCTGTTATCTTAACCAAAGAGCATTACAGCCCTTATCTGTGGGGCATGCTGGGGACACCAACCAGGAAACTGCTCATTACTTCAGGCTGAGACAGGGAATTTTCATCCTTCCAGGCATTACACAAGGAAATATTTGTTGCCGCCATTGAGAGAGAGCTACAAGCAGAGCCAAGTCGAGCTAAGCCAAAGCTAACACCTTACCCACACCTAGGAAACACCTTCTGGGCGTTAACCTGACCTTCACTCCCTGGAAGAGCATCCTCCAGCTCCAAGGTTCCCCAACAGCCACCAACACCAGGAGCTGAGGCCTTTTCCCAGCCTCCATGGTGTTGGGCAGCTGAGCTGGAGACAAGCTCATCAGTAAACAGAACCAGCTCCAGATGGAAAACGTAAATATTTCTGCCAATTAGCAGCAGCCCCTTGCTGTTATGTAAAGGAACATAAACGAGGTGTTACCTTGCAACTCCTCCAAAGGAAAAACGCCTTCCATGCTAATGCAGTTACGGCTAAAAAAAAATCATTATATGCAGATGAACATTACATGCAGATCAACACCCACTTTCTTGGCATCACCATGAAGCCAGTTTTGCCCCCTGGATCCCAGGGATAGGGCCAGCCCTCTTGGGATCTTGGCCAAGTCCACCTGCCCCTGTGAGTCACCTCTGATTGCTGTGCACAGTCACAGCAAGCCCTGGCTGGGCAGAGGAGAGCTGCATTCCTGTCGTTGTTACACCAAAGTGAGTTGATTTAATAAATCTCATTAGGCAGGCATTTGATAGCAGTGAAAGCCAGGGAGAACAAGCCCTGAGCCTAGTTCTCCTAGGCAAAGGGCACATGTGTTCCACCTCAGCTGGGGACCAGCTAAAAGGCCCTGTGGGTCTTGCCAGCCCCAGCTCAGATACCACAGCTGAGTCTCAAAGCACACGTGGAGGTTTTTTCAAATATATTTGGGTGTTCTCTCTTATCTGGGTCATTAGCCCAGTGACTGCTGAGACATGCCACAGCTCTATGGCGATGAGGGCAATGCGTTTTGGCCACTGGCTTGGCCACCACAACAAGAACTGGGATGCCCATGCAAGGCCAAGGCTGGAGAAGTCTGGAAAACACCTTTGTGTGTTTGTTCTGCCATAAGCTCTGGTCCTGATGCAGCAGAGACCTCTCCTGCTAAGAGAGGATCAGAGAAAGAAACAAGGAGATGTGAGCAAATGAAGATCTGCAAAAGCTCAGTGGGATCAGGGGTCTGAACCACGTGGGAAGCAGGTCAGGAGCTGGGAGTGCAGCCAGGGAGGTGCCTACGGCAGCAGAAACTCAAGGCAGAAGAAGCCAGGGTGGTTCTCATGCCTCTGCCTGGCTTGCCCCTTGTTTTTCCAAAAACACAGGGTGAAAACAATAGTCTTTTGAAAAGCACCAATCTTCTGGTGCCAAGCTGGGGGAGCCTCCCACACTGTGCATGGGCAAACAAAGCCACTGTGTGCTCCTGGAGCCCTGGCATGGGCAGCCAGCCCTGGCCTCTCCACCTGTTCCCACCCAGTGTGTCTGTGAGTCCCCGGGGAGCTCTGGCTGTCCCAGCCCGGTCCAGGGCACCATGGTGCGTCCTGGCAGCACAACCCGCTCAGGCTGGAACGTGGGGCTGGCTGGGGCTGAGCCAGGCTGTGTGGGAGCAGGTGTGTGCGTGTGCAGGGCTGTTTCTCCAGCTCCAACACAACGCCGCTCAAACTGACAGCAGGGTAAGCTCTGCTTCCATCTCTCTGCCGGGAGAGGCAGCTCCGTGTGCTCGCTGTCTTGTCAGGAGAGCTGGCTTGGGAAGGAACAGTTGCTGGTGATGGTTCGTGCACATCTTGTAAGCTGTGCTGACAACAGCTCTTGACAACTCCTACCATCAACTGCAAATCTTCCAGTGCTTCGTGTTTGCTTCAAGGCCCGGGTCCAAAATTCATTCAATCCATGGGGAATCAGGAAGAAAGGAAGAGGAGGGGGGAGCAGAAAGGGGTTTCTAGCTGCTCTGGTCAAAGGGACATGTGAAAATGAGGTCTCTTAAGGCTCCAGCAGCAGGCACTGAACAAAAAGAATGAGAATTTCCAAAATAAAAAAAAAAAAAAACAATTCAGGAATTTTAAGCAGGTCTCATGAATTCAGTAGCCAACTCGGTATCAAAATTTTTGACTTGGCTAAGTTGCAACAACAAGGGATGAAAAAAATTCTGTGTGATTGCAAGTGGGTGTTTTCAAACAGCATCTTGTTTGGGGAAAATAATCCCTCTTGGTCCGCTTTGTTTTCTTGTGATGCTGGAAATAATTCCCCTCAGAGAGAAGAACTGGGGTTTTATTTTTCTGTCTAATCACGGGAGCTACCTCAGGTCATGCCTGACCACAGCTGGTCTCCCCATCCTTGCTAGCACTGGGAGGAGTCGCCACCACAAAGTGTTAAAGAAACACGTGTGCAGGTCCAAAATCACACATTTCATTTAGCAATGAAGAAATCGGGCATGAGGAGCCTTGGCTGAAGGCATGTGCTTTTGGGGCTGAGCCCAAGGGCAGGGATGGAGGCAGCAGGGATGCCCTGGGGCAGCAGCATCGCTCCCACTGCCAGGACCCTTCTCTCCAGGGAGCAGGAGTAGCAACTGCTTATAGTATTGCAATAGCTCCATAATGGCTTTATAATAGCTCCAGCCTCTTCACTGCTCCCCCAGATTCACCACTTTAATTCTGTTCTGTCCAGGCTCTTGTTTTGGTGGGATCTGGGTGACCCAAGCCCACAGTGCTGCTCCTGGCCATGTGCTGGACTGCAGCAGGGACCTCACCTGGTGCCAGCACGGGGGGCAAGGAGCACTGGCAGGGGATAGGGGTCACACAGCTTGTGCCAGCTGCAGTCCCTCACGCTGGCAGACATCCCCAGTAACACTGATGGCTTTAGTGGCATGAATCCAGAGTGAGATGGGGGCAGCTACAAGGACATGACCCTGGGGGCAGGAAGGCTGTGGGTGCTGCTTTTGTCCACCCAGCTCCAGCATGGCCAGACGAACCACAGACCCGCAACAGAGGTCATCCTTTTTATTTTTAGTTTTTTTTCTTTCCTCAATACGTCTTGAAAATCCCAGGCCTTGGCCAGGCAACCCGAGCAATGAGCACGGAAAACTCCGCAGAGGCTTGCTGCCCAGCTTTCACGGCAGCTGTCACTTGAGGAGCTCTGCTGGGGACACTGTGCAGCCTGTGCCACCCCCGGCTGCCGCCTGCGAGCGGGGCTGCGGTGCGGGGACATCCCACAGGGGGGAGCCTTGTCACCAGCCTGCGGGGACACCGCCGGGACACTGCGGGGACACCGCCGGGACACCCCAGCACAGGCACCCCCCGCTCCCGGCCCCGGGGGCTCCGTTCCCACCCCTCAGAGTTAACAAATGCAGAGCGAACTGCCTTCATCCTCACGGGGCTGGGCAGAGATCCCTCCAGAACCACCACAGCTCAGGTGTTCAGAGCTGAGCTGGGATTTACCAAGTTAATATGATCAAGGAAATCTGTTTCTAAAGGGTGTCACTGGGAAAAAATCACCCCGTGGAGTGTCCCAACAGTTCTCTGTGCCTGGAAGATGCTGATGAGCTGAACCTCCAGCCCAGATCCCCACATTCCCATTGGATCAGCTTTAAACTGAACAGTAAAGGCCTAAAACTGGTTTAGTAAACCAGAGACCTTGCAAAGAGCTGTTATCCCACACTGACCTCAGGTAACACTGGAGTTGTCTTGTCAAAGATGAATAAATACATGGCACTACCAGACTGATGGAAGTGAGGTATGGACATGGCATCAATGCCCAGCTGCACTGTGAAATGGAAATACAGAGCTGGACCCCGTGAGAGGACAGGCAAGGCAAGAGGGGTTCCCTTAGGGGAAACCACAGCAAAGTGCCAGAGCCCAGGTTGGCAGCATGGGGAGAACAAACCCCACAGAAGAGCAGCCTCCTCACTGCCTTCATGGGCAAAGCCTGTGCCTGAAGATACTTTTCCTCCTCACTTTGTTTTTACCAGCAAAACTCAAAATTTTAAACTTACTGTGAGCACGTATTTCTTCAGAGGAATCCACAGCTTTCTGCACTTGGAATCACCTCTGTCCAAAGAAACAAAGACGAGTTTAAAGAAAATATTCATGGCTCAAATCACCATTTTCTTCTGTGAGTTTCAAAACCTCCCACACTGAGTGTGCCAGACAGAGCCAGCAGCAACACCCATATCATCCAACTCAGAATTTAAAATCTTTGGGCTTGATCTGTGACATGAAATGGATGTGGGGCAGGAGGGATGACAGAGCCTCAGCGACAAAGGGGTAATACAAGGACCCATGCTGAGAAAGGATGGGGAGCATTGCATGAGCCAGGTTGTAATCAGTTAATTTAACTTGAGTTTGGCTGGGAATAATTAAGAAGGAGGTGTTAATTTTCCTCTATATCAAGTGCCCAATCTCTTCCTGGACAGGCTTTCACCTGGGAAGTGACACCTTGCCAGGACAGAGATCTGGTCCCTGCATGCAGATGCACAGGCAGTAACCTATCAGCTGCACTGACACTGTTTGCATGATGCTTCCTTTAAAGAGAGAGAGAAAAACAAAACACTTGCCCCTGCTTTTTAAGGCTGCTGTGTAAACAGTCCTGTAGATTTTGGGGGACACACCTAAAGGAGGCAGGTGAGGTGAGGCTGATCAGGTCATGGAGCTGCCTCTCCAGGGCTGAGTGAGCAGCCAAGTGCTCTCCAGAGCTCTCCCCAGAGCTATGGGCACTGCTGCTGACAGGGTGAAATCCCCCTCCAGCCACTGCCCCCAGTCAATTGGGCTGGAGGGGTCCTGACCCATCTCCCAGCCCATGCTCCCCACCATGGTGGGGCCATGCTCATCTACCTCACTCCCACAGCAAGTTAAATGTACATCTTGGGCCCCTTGCTTTACCTCATGTTGATGAAATAAAAGTTTCCCCACCCCACCCTATTTTCTTATTTCTAGCCTAAACACATCATCCTGTGCACACAGATCCAAGAGCTCTGCAATGCTCAAAGGCCTTTTCTACAGCCCCAATCAGGACATTCCCAAATCACCTTGACAGCCCTTGTTGGGAAGCATCTGTCTCTGGCCAGCTTGTGTCTAGAAAGATCAGAATTTGGTTCCAAACCTTTATTTTTTTTCCTTCCTGGAACCAAAAGGTACAGCCTGGAGTTTCCTGTGGTGCTGGCTTCTATCCCAAGATGTATTTCCTTCAGTAGGAGAGGCTCTTACCTCTTAAATTTTTGTGGCCTCACTGATGAAGTTCACTGCTTACCCCATCACACTGCACAAGGCTGTGCTGGGAATCAGGGTTAAATAAGATGGAAAAACTGGGTGCATTTGTACAGCTGAGGGTACAAAGTGCTGCCAAGAGACAGGAACTCCTTGGGATAGTTTTGTCACTGGGAAAGCACACCATAAGCTGGCTCTGTTGGGTGGTCTAACCTTGTTTTCAGTGAATACTGGACTACTTCAGCATGCCAAAACAGGCATGAAGGGGACCAAGCCTGTGGGGTAGGTGTGGCACAATATCTGATTCCAGTTACATCTCCATCCCCAATTACTATTCATTAATCAACACAGATTCATTATACAGGCAAAACTCCCCCCAGCACTGCCAGGTCCAGGGCTTGGGTCCTGCCTCTGTTTGCTCCTGCTAGGAACTGCAGCAGCACACAGGGACTGTGCAGCAGGCAGAGCAGTGGGAACGTGTTTTGCCCAATACAGGAAAGCTGAGAAAGCTAAAAATAATTCCTGGAAGAGGTGGGTGTGCAGGAGGGTTGCCCCATGCCTGCAGTGCTCTGGGATGTATTGTACAGCACAGGGACATATCCCCTTTGCTGTGTACAGACCAGGGGGCCTGGGGGGCTTCCTAGGGCAAGCAGTGTGGGAGAGCACCATAAAACATCCTCCACCTCACCAGGGAGGGGGTGGCTTTCTAATTACCCAGGTGGGTTTCTATTGTAAGGAGAACAGCAATGCAGGATTTGACGCCAGGGCTCTGAATGTGTCACCTGCCAAGGGCAATTTAGCAAGTGGCCTGTGCTTTATTTTCCTGTTGTCCACAGCCAAGGGCCAGCACAAGCCAAGACCCCACCCCTCTGGGACCTGCCACCCTCATGTCTGCCTTCCCTTAAAACCCACATTGCTGTGTGGAAAGGGTTTTGTGGGTGCATGGGGCTATATATACTATTATTGTGTCTTTAATTAGGGCAGATACCAAAATGCTTTAGGATTTTGACCATCCCATGAACAACTGCCCAAACTGCCTGTTTGGTGACATAGCAGGAAAAGAAGAAACAAAGCATCAATATTTTATCAGTTTAGTCGAGGGGGTCCAGCTGACACTCAGGACAGTGCTTTGCAAGCAGACTGTCCCTCAGCATCATACGGTGCAGGTTCTGGGGCTGCTTCCATGCAGGGCAGCTGATGGCTCATGAGCTCCAGGCTGCCCAGCACTACTGACAGTACATATTCTTCATAACCGGGTAAAATCAACAAATCAACAGAATTTGCCTTCCAGCCTTTTTTTTTCCCCTATCCAGAACCAAACCAAAAACAGGTCTCTAGGCAGTGGAAAAATCAAAGGGAAACCACCTTCAGCATTGTTTCTCAGATGACCCATGGAGTGACCAGCAGGCCGTTCCCCTGGGCAATGGGGGAACACCCAGCCCCGTGGCCTCCAGAGCCCAACCGGGCTTGGCCCACATATGCCCAGTGACTTTTGGAGCAAAGCACCAAAATCAGCTTCTAAACGGCTCTGTTCAGTTCAGCTCTGCCACTGATCCACCCCGAGATCTCCAGACCACCCATTTCTGTGCCTCAGTTTACCCAGCTGCAAACAGAGATGTGTACATCTAATCTTTTCTACTGCAAGGACATTGCACAGAGTGGTCTATAAGTGCAAATTTATTAACAAGCAAGACCCAAGTCTGCTTTTGCCTAAGGTGGAAAATCAAGCAGCGATACAATTGGGATCACTGCACTCATTGCTGGGTGACCTGCAGGAGTGCTGGCTCCCGCTTGCCAGGCCTGAGCGGTTAATGTGGAAAAAACCTGGAGCAATGTGGGAAGGCTTGTCCCAGCACACTGCTTTGTTTGCTGACAACTAGTGCAAGTGACAATGTTATGAGTGACTTTTAAGATCTCTGTGACTTTAATTAGAAAGGACATTTTTAATAGCCTGGGCAAAGAGCTGTGTGGTCCTGCCAGCGGCTGCTCGCGGCACAGCTCACGCCCAGGGATGCTGTTATTCCTCTGGCATGTGATAGCAATATCATGTGTGAACTGACAGAGCAGACATGCCAACATTTTTTTTTAGCTGCACAAGCTGTCTCAGACAAGAAAAAACCCCATCTATATGGCCTCAGGGGCAGCCAGACACAACCCTCCAAAATTACCTGTGTGCACATAAAAAATGCATGCAGATTTCCAAGCCGTATGCATGGGGTTTAATCAATGAGCTTCCCTGATACATGGGAAACACTTCATTCCCAGTAATTGTCCTTTGACAGCTCTAACAAGTAGGATCTGTTTGGGATGGTAATGATTAAAATGCTGACTCACAGAGGGCTTTCCATGCTGGTGGGGCTGCACCAGCTTTGTGCTCACTTGGAAGGTATTTTGTATCCCTGCTTTTCAACCAATCTGCAATTTTAATCCTCTGGTTACAAACGGGTTGTTTGCGGCTTTGCCCAGATGACTCCAGGTTTCCCTTCTAGAGAGTCTGGAGAGAGAGGGCTCTCCCCTCACTTGCTGAGGGGCAGCAGGGCAGGGAAAATCCCTGTGCTTTGTACAGCCAGCAGCACTGAGGAGCTGGTCTGTGTGCTCTGGGCAGAAGAGAGAGGAGTGACAGGTCTCCAGCAGCAGGAGCTGAGCCCACAGGCCTGCACTTCAGACACCAGCTGAGGTGAGGTGTCAAACCCCCGGGCAGGTTGCTGGCTCTGCAGTGCCCTTGAGCATTTCACGGCAGGACAGAAAACTACTTCTCAAAGGTATTGAGGTGCATCCCCTGCCTTGCCATTGCTCTGCTGGCTGTGTCCACTTGCCTGCATGTTATGATGGGTTTGTCCCTGTGTCCCCTTCTGCTTGTGGGGCAGCTTCCCAAGTGCCATGTCCAGTGCAGTCCTGTTCCCTTGAACCTCACTTTTGCTGCTCTTTCATCACCTTGAAGCAGCAGTAATTAACTCAGGAAGATGGGTGTAGCCCAGGGTCAGTCAGAGAATTGAGAGGAGAAGGAAAAAGGCTGCACCTCTGCCTGTCACAGAGCCAGAGTTACCATGGGCAGATGCTGTGCCTGTGTGCCATGGGACAGTGAAAGGCAGAGCCAGTGGGCTGTTTGGCACTGCTGGCAAAGCACACTGCTTTGGGGCCAAGAACCCATGCTACCCCCTGGAGCAGCCAGGATCCCTGCTCAGGGTGAGCCAGCCTTGGTGGGACCATTCACCCACAGGAAAACAGACTAAGAAGCTTCTATGAACACCATCTCCCCATTCCTCCATCAGCTGCATAGCAGCTCCTCACAACCATTAATGATACTGGCTGTAACTACCAAAAGGCTTTTCGGATTTCTTCTGATAAGGATTTTCCTTTCCCAAGCACAGATGATGGCTCAGCTGCAGCTTATCCCACTCAGGCTATGGGCAGATCCTGCCTGGAGTAGCAGCAGCCATGCCTTTGGTGCAGCAGCCCTCACTGTAAGGAGATTGCCAACTCCAGAAAACTCTTCCCCTAATTACAGCACTGGAGCATAGAGAAAACCACATAAATGATTCACACAGTGTTCCCAAGCTGCAGCCGCGTAAATTAGAGAGATTTCCAAATGCTACCCAGCCACGCTCCCTGTTATCTGGATGGAAATGCAGAAACTTTCATAAAGAGGCGAGAAGGAAAAACCTGCCGTTAAACGCATCTCTGCAAACCAAGGAAATCTGGGAGGTCTATCCCCTATAGATCTTTACAGAAGGGTTGTTAAAACTCCTCAGGGAATTCTCATAGGAAGGAGAAGGCAGATAGCAGGGGAACTATAGAAATGCATACGCTTGTTATTTTGGAGGGACATGGGGTTGGAGCCTCTGCTGGCAAGCAGAGGATGAAAAGGAGAAGGCAAGAGGACTTGGGGCCAGCAGAAAGGGATGGCTGGTGGCAGGGAAGAGAGTTAAAAGTGTCCCATTGTTAGGGAAGTTTGCTCTCCTTCAGACCATCCCGCTCCCAGGGACACCCGCCGCCTTTTGAAGTGCAACCTTAGGCGGTTCCTTGTCACCCATTGGAGCGGGAGCTTTTTTACCACATTAAGTCATTGGGTAGCAAATGAATGGGGGGTTTTGACTATTCACAACTTCACCTTATAAATATCAGGGTTGGAGGTTCCTGCAGCTTTGCTCCATCCCCATAGCTCACCTTGGGAAGGAGTGGAGGGAGGCAGCCCTGCTTGTGCGGAGACCTGCAGTGTGGAGAGCTACAGAGCAGCCAAAGGGATCCAACTCCACTCCTTGTGACAGCCATGAAGAGAAGCACCCTCCTCATCCTTTCCATCACAGGGGTCTACAGTGCCATTCTCCGCACAGCAGCATGGTAGGGTCCAACTCGGTGGAAAGGACATTTTTTTTTGAGATGCTCAGCCTGTGGTAAGGTGATTTATTTTATTTTCTTTGTTTCAGGTCTGTGAATAACTTTCTGATGACAGGACCTAAGGTAATTAACATATGGACTGTGAGGAATTTGAATTGAGTGATTTTGTTTTGCAAATGGGAAATAGTACTTTCCAAGGAACCAGACTTCCCAGAGCATATCAGCTCCAAGTCCAGCCAAGTACAGAGGGGAAGGACTCACAACCTGCTTGTATTTTCACTGATAACTGCTAAAACAGGGTGGATTTTAACCCTGCTGTTTCCCATGCCAGGCTTACCTGACGTACTCCAGCAGTGTGGCAGCCGGGGCACACAGTGGGATGGAGGAGTGCAAGTTCCAGTTCGGGTGGGAGCGCTGGAACTGCCCCGAGAGCGCCCTGCAGCTCTCCACCCACAACCGGCTCCGCAGCGGTGAGTGCACGTTCACCTGCGGCACCTCTCCCTGCCCCGGGATGCTCTAGGTGCCAGCTGGGATGTGCTCTGGAGAGAGCTGGTGCTGCTTGATTTAACGGACTGATGGAAAAGGGCCTTCCTGTCCCAAAAATCACAGTTCGTTTTCCTTTATCTGTATTAATTGATGTCACAAATAGCAATAACATTTTCCTAGGGCTCCCAGGCTTAGTCTTTCCTGCTCTGCTGCTCCATGGGTCTGCTCCTACCCCTTTGTGTGCAGCATCCCGGGGAGTGCAGTGCTAGAGACACCCGAGCTTCCAGTGGGGGGGAGTGCAGGAGAGGCAAAGGGAGAAACCAGAGATGTGCAGTAAGAAACTGCCTCCATAAGAAAGCTGTGGATATATTTCAATATTATCTATTTCAATGGGCAGAAGTCTCCTTTTACCCAGAGCAGCATCTCTATTTGAATCTTTTCAGAAGCCAAAAAGGACTACACTAAGAGTGTAGGTGCAGACAGCTGTTAGCACAGGTTCAAAGGATCAATGACCATTTTCTCCAGCAGGTAAGATCAAAGCACAACATACCCCCAGGCAGGGAAGGACAGAGATGAGCTGAGTGCCAGGTGAAAGGAGAAATAACTCACCTTAGCTAGGGCAGGGCTCTGGCATTTCCTTCAAATCCTCCCCTGGCAAGAAGTTCCATCCCCTGTATGGACACCAACATAATATGATATCAAATTGATGTACCCTGTGATGCTGAAGCCTGAAAAGATCCAGTCATGAGCATTTAATTTCTGTAGCACCTTACCTTTTGCACAGAGTATGTGGATATTTTCTCCTTGCACCTTTGCAGCACAGGAGATTCTCATTCCTGATAATCTGGAATTGATGTCTGTATTTGCATGTGACAGCATTTTTCTCCCTTCTCCCCCAGCTACCCGGGAAACCTCCTTCATGCATGCCATCAGCTCAGCCGGGGTCATGTACACCCTCACCAGGAACTGCAGCCTGGGAGACTTCGAGAGCTGCGGCTGTGATGACTCCAGGAACGGCCGCGTCGGTGAGTGACTGTCCCAGGACAGACTGACCCCATCCCTCTGCCCTCACACACAGCCCCACAGACTTCAGGGCAGCATTTGGGGCAGGTCTGTGCTTAAGCCTGTGTCTGTCTTGCAGGTGGCCGAGGCTGGGTCTGGGGAGGATGCAGTGACAATGTGGAGTTTGGGGAGAAGGTTTCCAAGCTCTTCGTGGATGCCTTGGAAACAGGGCATGATACCCGTGCGCTGATTAACCTGCACAACAACGAAGTGGGGAGACTTGTAAGTAATAATAATAGTAATAATAATAATGTCTATATTGAAAACAAAATCTAGGTTGTTTAGGTTCCCATTTTCAGGCCCCTGTGACAATCCAGGCCTGGTAGTGGTTGCATGGGGGGGAAAACACAGCCAGAATCTGGCCTTGAACCTCAACACAGGGAATCACAGTAAGAGTTGTTCCCACTTCCAGGTTCTGCAGCTGTGTAATGCAGTTAACTGCTGGCACACACCACTTACTCAGAAATGCATGGGGTTTGTACTCACCTCTAGGCTTGTCTAGTCTGTTAAACAAAGCCAGAACCACCTTCCTTACTTTCTTGCAATATGCATTTCCAAGCTCTTCGGCCGGGAAGACAGGTGTGAGCTAGCCCTGCTCACAAGCCAGCCAGACTCACCCCCCACTCCCACCTGGGCCATGGAGGCTCTCAGCATCTTGCCAAACCTCCTTGTCTGTAAAAACAAGGATGACAACACTTAACATACCTATCTCATAGGGTGTGTCAAGGCTTAATCTCACATAGATGCTAGCGATTTGGAACCTTATAAATACCAGAGGGAGATAGGCAGATAATGTGAAGTGCTGTGAAGTGCTTGGCCTGGAGGAGATTGGGTATGATTATTCCAAAGCAGCTTCACACATTTTGAATGAAACCTCTGAAAGGGACATGGGTTGATGCTGGTGAGTGGCTTGAGAAGGGACTGACCTGACAAAGGCACATTTTTCCTTGCCTGGATTCTTCTGGAAGGGCTGGGTACAATAGTTTGTGCTCACGTCTGGGACAGATGTTTTCCAGGAACTAAGAGCATTAGCTCTTGGAAGGACCTGAAGTCACGCCAAGCATGAGCCACTTTAGATGCAGTGTCCCCAAATTACAAGTGCTGTAGAGCCTGATTTTGAGATTTCCTAATTTCCTCACCTCGTCCCAAGGCAGTGAAAGACACAATGAAGAGAGCCTGCAAGTGCCACGGGGTGTCAGGCAGCTGCAGCATCCAGACCTGCTGGCTGCAGCTGGCCGAGTTCCGCGAGATTGGCAACTACCTGAAGATCAAATACGACCAAGCCCACAAGCTGGAGATGGACAAGAGGCGTGTGAGAGCCGGCAACAGCGCCGACAGCCGCGGCGCCACGGCAGAGACCTTCCACCACATCCACGCCACGGAGCTCGTCTTCCTGGAGGACTCCCCTGACTACTGCACGAGGAACGCCAGCCTGGGCCACCACGGCACCGAGGGCCGCGAGTGCCTACAGACTGGCAAGAACCTCTCACAGTGGGAGAAGAGGAGCTGCCGGCGGCTCTGCACCGAGTGCGGCCTGCGAGTGGAGGAGCGGAGGACGGAGGTGGTGGCCAGCTGCAACTGCAAGTTCCACTGGTGCTGCACAGTGCGCTGCGAGCAGTGCCGGACGCTGGTGGCCAAGCACTTCTGCACCCGCCGTGACTCCGCTGCCCCCAACCACATCAGGCAGAGGAACAGGGGACACAGGAGATAGGGGACACTTTGGTGTCCTCACACAAGGGGAAGGAGCGTCCAGAGGGTTGGTGTGCACCGTGTGAGGTGATGGGGTCTCCTGTGGATGGATGCAGTGGGATTAGGAAGCACAAGGCGCGGGCGCTGAGGGACCATGGTCCATCTTGCTTCCATGTTTTTTCCTCAACATTTACCAGTAGCTTCTTTCTTCTTGGGAGTCACTTTATCTGTGTATTGGACAGAGGGGAGGAATGTCATGGCTTTGGTGGGCTCAACCCCTTATGTCCTTGCCAGTGGGTTTGCCAATGCCAGCAGTGGGGCTCCAGCCCCACAGCCAGAGATGGGAACAGGTGCTGTGGCCAAAAGCAGGTCCAGCCAGGTGATCCCATCCCTGCAGCTTCAGGTCCCAGCTGTTCATGCACAGCAGCTGCTTGGCAGCATTTCTGGAGGAAAACTTATGCACTTTGTGATGTGAGAGGAGGTTTGACAGTGTTGTGGTGTGTATTACCACAACTGCAGCTTTGAGAAGTTTACAGCCAGTGTTTACATATTTCCCTCAACCCCCCCACTTTTTTTCTCCTCCTTTTTGAATTTTGTATTTTGGCACAAGAAGCCTTGCCCCAAATAGACAATAGCTTCATGTATTTGTACTGGATAAAATTAAGCAGTTTACATTTTCCTATACTTTTTTGTTTTAAAATAGCAGATAAGAATTCAGAATTCTTTATGCCTAATGTTGTTTATTAATAAGTTGTATTATTGCTTAGCACAATCTGTTTTCACTATATATTTTGAAGGTATCCCCGAAGAGTTAGATTCTGGACTGTACTTTGCAATAAACCACAATGAAAAGAATTGGCTTTTTCCTTTCTGGCTTCCTAGCAGTATGATTTTAGGTGCAAACTTGTCCTTTTCTGTGTAAAACCCAACAATTCCACGAATTTCCTCATCATTAATCCAAAAGCCACCAAGGGCAATGAGTTTGTTCTCCTGGATCTCAGTAAATTGGCTCCAGCCTCCAGTCCCCAGAGGGTTGGCTTTAGTACCTATCACCATAATCTCGCCCTTTCCAAGTGCTGAGTATGCAGACACAGCCTGGCTAAAGCCGATTTTGAAGCTCCCAAAGTCTCTTTAATTTGCTCGACCCGACATCCCCCAGACAATGCGAGGCTGCCCCGCTTTGATGTGGAAAGCGTCACCATCGGCACTCGCTGAAAATTTCTTGGAGGCACGAGAGGAACCCTTTGAACTGGAGCAGGAGAGAAAACTTGGGGACAGTTGTGAATGTGTCTGCTGGTTCCCTGCTGCTCCGGGTGCCAGAAGCCCGGACGAGGTCGGGGAGGGCAGGAGGGGACAGCGCTGGCTGCTGCTGTCCCAGGGCAGCTCCTGCTCCTTGGAGTCAGAGCTGCTGTGGAGGAGCCAGGGCTGTGCCATCACCCACACCCACGATGCCGGGCAAGGATGCTCGACAAGTTTGCTCTCCAGCCAGGGAAAGAGGAGGAGAGACAAGTGTAAAAACCACCCTACAGTTCTGCCAGCACATTGCACCCACACTGCAAATGCTTCAATGCTGTTTTATCCAGGTCTCCCTATGGCTCCCTGTGTAAACACAGCCTCGACACATACGAGAGCCGGACCAGGGAGATCAGCTCGCAAAACACATTTGGGAAGCACAGCTCACTTCCATGCATTTATTTTATGCAAAGTGTGTTTTATTAAAGCTGGAAGGGCAACACCATCAGTTAGGGGGGCTTTGCTGCCTTCAGGGTAACCATTTCTAGTAAGTTACCCTACCAAAACAAAATACCCCAAGATTTTTGCACAGTGTTGTCACAACAGCAGTTGTAACCCCCCAAAATTTAGGCTGAACTGAGAATGATATAAACAGACAAGCAGCCCTCCTTTCTTGAGCTGGAGTTTATACTGGTTATCTTGTCTGCACAAATAAAGAGACCCCCACGGTCTCTTTATGTATTTGTTTGTACTGTGCTCCAGAGCCCCAGCAGCTGCAGGCACAGGATACCACCAAAATCCCACAAAATGAGGTTATACAGAGCACAGGACAGTCTCTGTTGATGTGATGTCAGAGGAGGGAAATTATTTCACCAGGATAACTCCCAAGCACACATAAAAACCTTCCTGCTGTATGCCTGATTTACACAGGTAAATCCTGGGAGATGAGGGCCCCAGTAAGCAGGAATGGGTGAGACATGCTGTGTGTCATCTCACCCCTTTCTCTGCAGCATCTTTTGAAACTAACATTAATGCAGAAAATAAGAAGCAACAGGTTTGTTGGTGGCAACAGCACCAGACTTCTGTCTCACAAAGGCTCCATCCCAGGGAAATAGGGCTGAGGAACGTAGAGATACCACTGCCAAGACCAATCCTTTTCTCCCTGAGCCCTCCCATTCCCACCAACTCAGCATTCATATCCACCCCATTGTACTTAAATGCTGGAAATGAACTGTTCTTCCTTAAATTTGTCACCAAAGTAATTTATATTTCTGGTAGCCAGACTCTCTAAGGCAACGAGCAAATCACACCCAAAAGCCAGAGACCAAATGCAAATTGAAGCAAACTCAAGAGAAAATTACACACCATCCCATGACAGAGATTTCCATTCTCTTTTTATACCTTGCAGCAACAATACCAAGACTAAACAAATACAAAAATCAACTCTATGGCTTAGAGTGGCATCTTGCCAGAGATATTAAGTCCTGGAGAAGCTGAAGCTTCCTCATCCTCCCTCTTGTTGCTTGGATACAACAGTCATCAATTCTCACTACATTCACTACAAAACAATAGAAATTCAGGATCGTCTTAATCCATCACAGCACTGTCAGGGAACCCTGACACCCCTGCCTGCTGCTTTGGTTTCTGTAATAACTCTCACAAATGCCATGGGGCAGAGGGTAACAAACTCCGAGGATGCCACAGGACTGAGCTCATCATTTCAGCCATGATTTTACCTGGGCAGCTTTTTTACTTCTGCAGAGCAGGAGTAAAACAAAGCGTTTCAAAGAAAACAGGAGCACACACAGCAGAACACAATCATGTTACTGGCTGCTTTGTAAAGGCTCCTTCTCCCCCCACAGCCAAAGAGTTTTTGTAGGGACTGGTGATGCCTTCAAACCTGCACGTGTTTGGTCATGATCATGATTACCCAAAGTCAGATCCAATCTGGGGCACTGACCTCAAAAACCTGTAACCCACTGCACACCTGGAGGAAGGGATGGGCTTGCTCTCTAAAGCCTTGAGGAGGAACCTGACCACTGTCCCACAGTCATAGTATTGTCATAGTGTTCATCCTAGTAACAACGAAAAGCTGAAAATCTTAATCTGGGCCAGGTGCTGCATGTACTCAACCCAAAATCTTGCTGCCTGTCCCCCAAGAGCTGTCAGCACTGCTTCTTCTTTGAAGCAGGGGCCCTTCAGGTAGGGTTGTGGAACCACTTGGACAGTTCTGGAGCAGCATCTTCATGTTTGACCAGCCATTTAAATGGGTAGAGCATCCTCTGTGATAAGAAATCTGTGGAACAGCAGTGGAATCAGCTCTGAATCACCACTGCCTTTGTGGAAGGTTAACAGCAGTGTCCCATCAGCCTTTATTGTGGGAGACTTGGTTTACATTTCATTTTTGTGAAAAAGGGAAACACACTCCAAATGATAAAATTATATAGGACAGCTATAGCATTACCAGAGACCAGGGCAGGTTTATGTCAGAGGTGCCTGACATAAAAGAAGATGAAGAGGTGCCTGACAGAAGATCAGAAGATCAGTGATTATCAGTTTTGCTGTCCAGGTGACCACCCCAGCACCCTCACTAGGGGACAGTAACCCCCAGTTTTCATCTGGTGTCTCCTTCCCAGCAGGTGAAAATGCCCCCACAGCCTCATTCCCCTTCAGGCAAGAGCATGGGCACGACTCAGGTGGCCTTGGCTGAGGTTGTCTCCATCAGTGTGTGGTGGAAGGTGAAGTTTGGGGTGCAGGTGTCAGCCTGTATCAATAGAGATGGACAGCACATTCTCAGGACTGCCCAGCACATGGAGCCAGGCTAGGGCTGTGCTTGTGTGGGGGCTGAGGATGTCACCTGGCACAGGAACTGGATCTGTGCTGTTTCCTTTGCTGCCTCTCATTGAAAAGGGTGCAAGGATGGCTCTGGCAGGGAATTCACACCATCATTGCCACCGTGTGCCCCCGCAGCCTCTCCCAGCAGGCTGGCAGAGACATTTCTGCTTGGACATTGGGGTACCTTCCTCAGGCTCTCTCCTCAATATGTCACACTTGCAGAATGACCATCAGCAAGCAGAAAATGAAATTTATTTAATACACAAAGTGCAGGTCCTGCAGATGATTTTGCAAAGCAGTTTGGAGGTGGATGGCTTTTGGTCTGCTTCTGCTCCCTCCCGCCCTGGTCCCACCTAGCTGCAGGCTGTTCCCTTCCCCAAAGCCCCACCAAAGCCCCCACTGCATCCCACCACCATCCCTCCTTTTCTCCAGCCTGCTTCCCTTCAGCTGTTAAACTCCTTGCCTGCTGGATTACCTCTAATTTATGCCCCCAGTGCCCTTTCATGGATTATAATTCTGTATGAGATGTTTGTGCTGTATCCTCCCCCGGTATTAAAGTGTCAGGACTATATCCCCAGGCCATCCATCTTCAACACTTCCGCAAGGGCTTGGCAATTCTCTGACATGAATATTATGGCTCTCCATGCAGAGCCTCCATCACTCAAGCTGACAAGTGTTAGAATCTCCTCTCTTGAACAGGGTAAGTGACCTTTTCATATGCAGCGTAGGTTCCCAGTCACGCTGCATCTGGTCCAGGGAAACCAGTGAGTGCCAACAATTCCCTAAAGTCTTAAGAAACAAGTCACAGGTCCTTTTCCACTTGCACAACCAACTCTTAGCAGGAAAATGTTAAAGGCCTGAATCGGCCCCTGGTTACCTGCTGCTAGTGCCAGTCCTAGAGAGTAGGATGGAAAAATCATCCATTCCATGCCTTCTGCAGGATTTATCAACAGGTATTTTCAGGGAAAGATCGGGGGATTTGGATGTCTGGCTTGTTGGAGTATATAGGAAAGATTTTTGTGACCAATTAGTGATTTCAGTGACTTGGAAACCTCAACTCTAATTTTAAACATTTTTAAGTGAGGTGTTTTAAAGTTAGATCCCTAAGCCCCACCAGCCTGATTTTCAAAGCTGCTGAACTCCTGGGCTTCTCACAGTTGTGTGCAGGAGCTTTCCTCCCTGTGCTTCCTTACCTGTGTCTAGGCAGAAGCTGAGGGAGAAAACAACATTTAAAGCTCTTTTCCAGCTCTGACTTTCCCAGCTGTGCTGCCCTAGGGACACTCTAGTCCCTGTGCTCAACAGAAAGTGAATCCCCTAGAGCTGAACTGTGTGGTGACTCAAGTTAAATCCCTCCTACAAAATTCACACCAATGTGACACAATGTTACCCCAAGTCTTTGACTAAAGGGGTGCCTAATTTCTTTCTACTCTTGAGCACAAAGGGACTTTCGGAGCAACTTTGCCACCTTCCCCCTACAGAGTAACTGGTGCTGGCTCACTGCCAGCACAGAGCAACAAACACTTGTTAACACCTTTTCGGCTCCCCCTTAATAAAGTCAGGGTAATTAACAGCTTCACTATTTACAAAACAAATCCTCTTTGCAACACCTGAGAAAAAGAGTTACAAATGTTTCCCAAACATTTCTCAGTTGGGGAGGACACCTAGAATAACTGTCTGCTGGGATGTGCGGCATCTGCTTTCCCTGGCTGGAGAGTCCATGCTTCCCAGGGAATGCTGCATATTCAACATGAATTCATACTCCACTTCCAGCCAGGAGTCCTGATCAAGCACAAGTCTACTGGGAAAGTTTCCAAAGGTTACTCCAAAGAGAAAAATGTACAGGGAGCCAGGGCATCAATTTATTGCTCACTTGCTGGTCCATAATTCTGGTATGGCCACATGGTACAACAGGTGGACATAGAGAAGGTTGGTCCCCTCCAAAACTGCCCCCAGGGGTAGCTGGGAGAGAGTTGATAATGTACAGCATATTTAACATTTGCAGAGAGATTCACAAGCTCCCCCACCTCTTTTTCTGGTTCCCTGCTCTCTCCTAGGATACAATCCATGCCCCCCACTTTGCAAATCACTGCCCTGGCTTACAGTGCAGTAAATTCCCCCTTTTCAAACAAGCCCCAAGGAGCTGAGCCATATAACAGAAGATTGATGGATTGGAGAAAAACAGATAAATGTAACTTGCAATGTACTTTCAAAATTAATTCCTTCCTTCTGTCCTTCTCATTTGCTCTCCTATCCCATTTCCCTTTACCAAACATAGAGTGACTCATATTTTATGAACAAGAAGGATGAGGTACTCCTGAATTAAACTATTATTTATCTATAGAGATGGCTGCTAGGACAGCTTCACACAAGAGCTCTCCCAAAGTCGACTTGGTCCAAACCAAGCAGTCCAAAACTGCTTCTGGAGATTAGAAAAGACCCTTTTAATGTGTGCACCAGGTCTTTGACCCACACTCATCCCTCCCAGAGGGTCCAAATTGCAGAGAGGAAAGGAGAGGGAGTTGATGGTAACTCTAAGTGAAGTAAGACGTAGAGATTGACAGCCACAGCTAAGACATGCTCACGAAAGGCAATCAAGGTGTAAAGATGAGTTGCAATCATGTGGGACAGTGAGTCAGAGCCAGAAAATGAAAGAGACTAAGTCTAAATCTGTCATAGAATGGGACAGTAGAGCTGTACAAGCAGTGGGACATGATGGGAAATAGGGA